TCCACAACTATTACCACAATTGGGTTTGCTAGGACCCGTAGTAGTACCCTGGGCAGTTGTTTCGCGTAGCCCTAATTCGTTCTCTTTCCGTCTTGTAAGTTGACGGTCTTCTGTTCATCACCCTCACTTGAGGATCATCAGGGACTATATTGTATCATCCTTTCGTGGCACTCCACACTAAGTCTACTCGGGATAGTAGCAGATCGCCATCTAGTGGTCTAGCGAATTCCACCAGTATGGGTCTAGCGGGTGCCTGCGGTGCTTCCCGGGGTGATGTTTTCCACCTCCCGACCCGGTGTACTCTCCTAATTGTCCAGTTTGGTGGAGCTCCAGGTAACCGGAGTATGTCATGGACTCTACGCCTGTCCATTCCCCTACGGGCCTTTGATTCTCTTATGTTCGGCTCCTCAGTGTTAAGTATGAGGAGGTTTCCTCGAAGTTCAACTTTGGGGATGCTTACAGCAAGGAGGGTGCTCGCTTGCTTCTTCACCTCCTGAAGCTCTTCCTCTAACTTATCTCTACTTCCTTGTGAGGGGATGATATTTCTACCCGCTCCGGGTGTTGATTGTCAGTGTGGCTTAGGACGGTTTACACCTTGACGTTCCTTGGAGTTGAACACAGCTTATGTAACGTTGTGCATACCACTACTGCCTTTCAGGTCGTGGGCAAAACTGTTTACCAAGAGCTCTTTCCCTGCGGTTACCTCTTTTCTTGGCTTGAGGCGACCTAAGCGTAGGTTTTCAAGGTTCTTCTGGTTGGTTCCGACTTTTCGGGCTTTTGAGACGCTCACCATTAGGCTTGTATCTGGCCTCAGACTGCCGCTTCGCGAACGCAGTCCTGGCCGCAACCTTATAATGCTCACAAAGTGGCACTCTACCCAGCTATTTTCGCAAAAGAATGCATAGCGGTTTTCGCTAACGCCTGAACGACCAGAATGCGCCCTACATTTGCAGGTTTTACATTCGATTCCCGTCTTTCCGCAGTAATCCTCCAAAGATGGATTTGACACTCACGTCATTATAAAGTGTCTATTTATTTGATTACAAGCAATAAAAACGTAAAACGGTGATACGAAAAGCGACAGGGGAATGCGATACGTAAAAACGTTACAAAAAACCAATCTAACGGTGCACAGAGTTTTGGTCCACGCTGCTATTGTAATGAGAAGGTGAGCTGGCTGGGAAAACGTCTATTGATCCAATTCAAAAACAAACGGTGTATGCGTTCGATTATATACAGTCAATTCTCAACCGCGCGGCGGGATGAATCATGTCTCTTTCTGTGGGTCATTCCTTGTTGGTCTTGGTCCGCACTTGGCACGTACGCTGCCTCTTCTTCCGCGTGCCATTTCGACTGGTTTGATCCGATCGCGGTGCGAGATGCGTTGATCGACAGCTCTGA